ATTAATAAGTGAGTACTTAAGAGGTTTTCATACAAACTCATAATCAACGGAAATGTACTTTACTTCCGGGTTACCTACAACAAAATGTTAATTCTGTTTGAAATATAAAAAGTGAAACCAGTAAAATAAAGAATATTTTATTAATAAACTATAAGATATTGATTCTGATGCTGTGCTAAACTGAAAGCACTATGAATTCTATAGTTACATATTTGATGGTATTTAAAAAATCGTGAATGTGAATAATAATAATTTATCATTTAGATCAATTAATATATCATTGAAATTGGGAAGGATTGACTTTCCGGTTACCTATTTTTCGCAGGATTTCTGTCGTATTAATCGGGTCGAACCACCCATTGCAAATATTTGCAATTCATAGATAACATTTCCTATTGCTTTGCAATTTCAGTATTATCAACCACTTTTTAATTAGTACTGTTTTAGAGATAGCTATAATCAATTAGAAATGAGAAAGTAAAAAAAAAAACAAATACGGTGCCTATATGGTAGGTACTTTATTTTCTCGTCATATTAATTTGTATAACAAAGCGACGTTTACAATGTATTAGTATTTATGTTAACTGCCCTAAATAGAATAATCCCGCTTGTAAGAGGGATTTGCTTATGTCAGAGCCATCTTGCAATGGGATTGGGGTGAGCTTACGACATAGTGTTTGTCAGACATGACACATCAGGGTAGTCTCTGGTCATGTACCGTATTGTATAAAATAGCTTAGTCACAATATTAAAACATGACTGTTTTGTATCTAAACATAATGTATAAATGTATATAGTATCTTCAAGACTTAGCCTAATATTATCACTGCAACGTCCCTCGCTTCCTCGTTATAATATCATTTCTTTCTAATTAAAAAGACTCGTCTGAAACGCGAACTTAAAAAGTAGAATAAAAAATATTGTTTCATCCTACAACTTGAAATGGTAGAGTATCTCGGGAGGGCAATTGGTAAATGGTAAAAGATGTCACGGTATATTTCAATTTCACATACATTATTTATGATATTATGCAAACAAGGTTAGTTGTTGAACATCTTTTCTAAAATACGTGCCTATTAAATAGATAATGAAATAACGATTTTATTATTGATTAATTTTAGATTTTTCTGTGCATGAAGCTTATATTTATATGTATATTTTAATATTTAATCCTTAATTTGTGGTACACATATATACACTCATTGATGATACCTTAACCATTCTTTAAATTAGTACTAAAACCATTAATTTCGTCTTGAGTATACCTTTTTTTTTTTTGATTACTGGGGGAAACCTTCAAAAGGCGCCTAGCTTTTTGGGGAGAAAGACTAGGGAGTGTGGGATTTTTACCTCACTAAAACCACCCCGGTGGCCACCCTCATCACCTGTAAGGGGCCCCGGGTCCTCTACAAGAGACCTGCTCCGGAGCCCCCACGATGAAACGCCTGTGACGGCACATCCCTCGAGTACGAGCCTCGCTGTGTACGGCGGTACGTGACCACTGTACCACCGTCTTCCCTGGGACCACTGAATGAGCACCTAGAGTCCCCCCTCTATGCACCCGTGACCCCAAAGGTCCGCCTGATTTTCATGCAGGCGGGATTCGGCGTATTAGGCGTCAAGGCGGTTGCCTCCTCGACGCCTTCTACGAGCAGGATCGGCCCTCTCGCGATCCCGCTCAGCAGCCTCCTTTTGAGACATAACAGTCTCGCAAAACGAAGCCACTTCCCTCCAATTTTCTGCATCTGCCAGCATAGCCCTAACTACTGCTGGCAGAGACAAGTCTCGCCCGATCTTGGCGACTAGGACCCGCCGCTCAGAAGCCCACGCTGGGCACTCCTCGAGCGTGTGCTGTGCGGAATCCAGGTCACCTCCGCAGTGGTGGCAATTTGCCGTGGCCTCTCGCCCAATCCTGTTCAGATACTCCCCGAAGCATCCATGTCCGGTTAGCACCTGAGTAAGCCTGAAGGAGACGCGCTCCTCTCTTTTCAGCCAGGCTTCGAAGTGCGGCAGAATGGCTTCAACAACGCGCTTGCGTGAGAGCTCCGGCTGAGCTTGAGTTCTAGCCGCTCACGCCACCGCTCGAGCGCGTGTCGCCTCTCTTGCCGCCTCAGCCTAACGAACGCCACTCCTGGCATTCTACCGCCATTTCAGCGGACAGTGCGAATTTGGTCGTAGACTTTCGCGTCCATGTCCGCCAGGATATCCAATGGCGGAAAGCGAGCCAGGAGAGTTGCCGCCTCAAAGGATACCGTTCGGTATCCCCGTGCGATACGGATGGCCATTTTCCGCTGTAAACGATAAATTTTCGCTCTACAGCGTCGAACGCCTGACAGTCGAGCTGACCAAACAGGCGCCCCGTAAAGGACCATCGACCGCACGACGCCCGCGTAGAGGCGCCGAACTTCTTCTCGAGGTCCCCCAATGTTAGGCAGCAGTCTGTGCAGAGCACCCACTGCCTGACTCGAGGAACCAGGCGTTCGAAATGCTCTTCGAAGCCCCACCGACCATCCAAGATTAGGCCTAAATACTTTATGTATTGCCCAACCTGGACTTGCGCATCTCCAACGTATACCGACGAACTGGGTGGCTCCCTGGTCCTGGTGTCTTGAATATACCTAGCATTTCGACTACAAATCGCATCTCTTTTTCTTTATTGTTAGTGGTTACGTTTATAAAGTGTCTTCTTTCTCTAAAGTATATAGTTTCCCCATCATGCTAATGAACATGTTGCCAAGTATCTGTAACTATGTGTAAAGTATCTGAGTTTGAGTACTATGATTACCATTGTTTAGAAGTTCGAATGGTTTGAGAGCTATTCCGTTGAAAGCAGTCGCGTGGCAGCGGTGGATCACGTTCTATTAAACTATGTCATACCAATATTCGCTGTTACTTCATTCCAAGATAAAGCAAAGATAACATTAACAAAATTTAAATAAAGAATTTGTTATAAAACCATGCAATGCCGAAATTACTCTTTAAAACTACGAGCGGTGAATGGTTATACAGCAATTTTGTAAACATGCAACCGATTAAATGTTTTCGGAATTCACTGCAATGTTATTACAAGCAGTATTTTTAAATTGTTCACAGTTCAAATAAAAATATATTTCCCTCAAGCAAATTCTACTGGATAACGGATTCAATTTGACCTAATCTAATTGATTTCGCATTCAAATCTTTTTGATTTTCATCAATATTTTGAAAACTGAATAATATTTTTAGTTTCGAAACTCCGGTTAATTGAATGAAGCCTAGTTTTACACTCGAATAGCTTTTTTCGCCGACTTGTTACTTGCTTTACTTGACGTTGATTTCATTCATTTAATTATATTGATTACTTTTGGCTCTATGTTGTTCTGTATTATTTGCATCCACGAATAAAATTGAATATAAAGTTAAATGGATGATCTTTGGATATGATTGTACCCATATACCCTCATTTTTCACATTTTCTTTAGACCGTTCACTTTTTAAACAACTGCTGGTTAAGGAGCTAACGTTACAGGGTGGCTAAAGTCCTAGTTTTTAAATAGTGTATGTATTTTCACTATGCAGAAATAATTTGAAAACAATATAAACTTAAGGAAACTTTTATCAAAACAAAACAGTGGTATCACAGCGTCCTTATAATAGACTAAGTGGCCCTACAAACTCCGCCTACTCCAAATTAACCAATCCTCAAGTTTATTATAGACAGTTTTGTTCCTTGTCAAACAATAAATGTCAAAAAAGGACAGATTATACAAGAAAAAAAAATCGATGTTTTTACAACACCTAACAAAATTACCTACAATTATTTTTATTTATTATAGACAACCAGACTATCGCCGAAGTTCTAGGAACATCGGTAATACGGTGCGTATTGGTACCTATAAGTAGTGCTCCCTTATCCTCTAGTTAGTAAACTTGTAATGAGGTCTCAGAAGTTTCTTCACTGAAGACTTACATTTGTGAGTTTGAGCAAAAAAATATATTTAAAATTAGTTCCAGTTAAGCAAGAATTTATTTCTGATGCCTTATAAACTGGGTGACTACTTAAAACTTTTTTTGACATATTATTATTGTCAATAATACTCGTATGTCAAAGTGATATTAGGTTTTTCAATTCTTGAAAACACGCTAACATTACTCATGGTCATGACAAAGTATATATCTAGTAATTTATATTGAAAATTATTTTTTATCTTCTCATCTGCTGATATTCACTGCTTGACCTAATTTTAAAACAACTAAAATACGTATCGCCGTGGTGGCCCAAAGGTTAAGGCGTTCGCTTCTTATGCTTGATCCCTCAAGAACTTCGAAATTGGCAAGGCTCAATGTGACTTTTTATAAGTATTTATGGTAGACTTTTATATAGTACTTTTTATAATTATTTAGATATCACCGACATACCGCGAAGGAAAACATTACGAGGAAACCGGAACTTATAATTTCTATTTATAAGTTAAAAATCACCAATTTCTTTCAGTAAGCGTGGTGATTAATGCTCAAACCGTGTCTGAAGAGGCCTTTGCTTAGTTGTGGGCTTTATAATTAAAAAGTTAATGCGTATACCAAAACACCAAAGAACTTATCTCTATGGTCTGTTCGAATCAATATTTCTGTCTCATTTCCATCGGATAAATGTCATTAATCTCTACATTTTGCAGCCTTAGGGATTATGACTATGACAATTCTGTCATGTTTAGATTAAAACATAATAACATTACCCCAGTGGCTCGCTGTCCGAACTCGTACAGCTTGTTTACTCAACCGATGAACTTAAGCAGGTCGGAGAACTTGAATAGTGTTCAATATCTCATATTTCTTTCTAGTTTAAGAGTTTTATCAAAGTTTACTACTGCATAACATTACATTTTGTTAGAGCATCGTTGCATATTATGTAAATCTTGTTGAAAATTTGTTTTGAGTTGTTGTTATATAATTATTTGTTTTGTCATTTTCACATAAGCCGCAAGACGTGTCAAGTGTGGGAGAGCCAAGCTTCGGCACGAATGGGTCGGCTCGACCGGATTAATACCACGGCCTCACAGAATACCGGCGTGAAATAACCCACAGTGTTGTATTTCGCCGTGTGAGTGAGGTTACCGGAGGCCCAATCCCTTCCTTTCCCGATCCTTATATCCGCAACCTATCCCCAAAAGGCCGGCAATGCACTCGTAACTCATTTGGTGTTGCGGGTGTCCATGGGCGGCGCCGTTTGCATACAATCAGGTAATCCGTCTGCTTGTTTGCCGAATTATATCATAAAAAAGACGTCCATTGCTTATTAAGACCTCCACTAAGAAAATCGTATATATGTATATATCGCACATTTAGTAATTTCTACTGGGAGCAAATAGTATCGCCACATGCAAGTTAGTCCAAACAACTAGCAAGTCTTACTTCCCATCTCAGGTGGGTTCGCCGTCTCAAGTGATGGACGATACCAAGTTCCACCGAAGTTATCCGAATATTGTACCTGCCAGTAGTATTAATAAGGTCAGTTAGGTCCAACACATATGAAGTAACTGGCTTTCGACAAGTTTAAAGTGTAGGAGAACCATGATTCGGCACGAATAGGTAGGCTCGACTGGAGTGATATCACGGCCTTACAGAAAACCGGCGTGAAACAACCACAGCATTGTGTTTCCTCGTGTGAGTGAGATCACCGTGGGCCCAATTTTTCCTCTCTCCCAATCCCCAATTCTCACAAGGTCAGCGTCGCACTTATTATAATTCCTCAGTTTTTGCGGGTGTACTTGGGCGGTGCTGATAACTTTCCATCTTTTCGTGTGCTCGTTTGCCGAGCTATCACATAAAAAAAAGTTGACCAGTTGAATCATCTCTCACGATTATTTGCTGCCTTGCGGATTAAATAATATTATTTTAATTTTGTAATAATAATATAGTTGTCATATAAATTACAAAATTAAAATAATATTATTTAAAAATATAATATAATTTTTTATCACATTTTATAACTCGCTGTGGTATTTTGAGTATTACGAGTACTATAAGTACTTTATTTATGGAGTAACATAATATTTTTAATTGGCATCTCTATTGAAGTGAAATTCGGTTTTATTTCGATTAAAAATCCTGAATAGATTAAATCATGGCCATTCATAGTATGAAAACAATTTTACCTTTTCATAAGTACTAAATACAAATGCATCTGAAAAATACCTTTTTATTTTACATTATTAATAGCAAATAAAATTGGTATGAAAGGATCTATTGAAAGGGTATTTATTAAAATTTATTTATGTAAAATAAATTGATGACAAATTTAAACTAAAATTTTTATAATCAATGTGATGACTCTGATATACGACCTAATTGCCCTTAAAAAGTAAATGAACTCAAAAATCTAATTTCATCTGTGGTCCCAGCAGAATGCGGGTAGATCACTGAATCACAAACCGCAAACGGGTCGTACTATGTTAAAATTGTCTATTAAGTTGAACAAAATCAAAAATAGAACGTTTTATTAGGAGAATATTTCAAAACGATATTTTATAATTTAATAGCAATGACGTATTTTAATATCAATATTTTTTAGGGATTTAATCAACTAAGAAAATAAATATAATAACTTTTATAACAATAAATTAAGTTAATATGGGTTTAAGGTAGATAAAATGTACCAAAATGCTTTTTAACTTCGTACTATTCTTTAAGTACGGAATAATAGGCTTACTGCCTCTTGCTAATGGTTTACGAGTAATGAAATTCGTTTACATATTATGAACTTTTTAGTTTTAGCAGTAAAAAGAATACGTTTTGATAAATAAATGGCTTGATACTACTATTCCTCTCTACTCACATTTCAGCCACAACATTTCGACGAGTGTACTTTTCAAACAAATGGTCAGGCCAGTGAGTAACATCTGTTACTCTGTAAAGTTTTACTAGTTTATGTATTTTAGGTCCGGCAGCATTCAGCTCGCCTAGGGCCGCTGCGAGTGAGCGCGTAGCGAAGAGCTACAGCGTAGCGTAGTGCTACGGCGTAGCAAAGGATTTCCCCGCGGGAAACCTTATGTATGCACATAGTCCCATGCGAATGTTTCAAAGTCCAAAAGTCAAAATTATTTATTTCAATTAGACCCATACAGGCACTTTTGAACGTCAACACAACTTTAAAGATACAAAGTGTCAGTCTGTCGGTCAGTCCTTTTAGTGAAGCTATTCGCTCGTTCCAAAGTGTAGATTCCGATGGAGAAGAACGAGCAAGAAACTCCATGGTTACTCTTTTAAAATCAGTGTCACATAAACATTCTTTGATACATTATTTAGTTAGTTTGAATATGTGAGAACAGTGTAACGCGTGTATACAGAGAAACATAAAAAGAAAATAACCTTAAGGACAATAGACAGTCCGGAGCTGACCAGTCCCAATTGACGGCGCCCGTTCACGAGCATGACACGTACACCAGCATCGCCCAACTCAACCATAATATAGGGAATCGAGCGATCCAGTGACCGTGCCACCGCCAATGTGACCTTTGAGTGAGCATGACAACTCCAAGCTGACATATGGACCGACATTCTGCTAGTCTAACTAATTTTAATAGGTTACAGGGCACTCACATTTACAAATTTATCAAGTTTAACAATAAAAATAGCATGGTTACAAATTTACAAAATCTAAGAACTTCCGTTCAAGCAAAGATCCACTGGAACATTATTTATATTCGTGTAGGTATATTATCCTGTGGAGCAGGACCAGCCCGTCTCCAAGCATCCTTATCCTCAATATAATCACTCAGTTTGTAATATGCTTTTTTACACAAAGTTTTCTTTATACATAATTTAAAATTTCTTTCATTTAATTGTTGTATTTCGCCTGGGATTTTGTTATAACACTTAACGCTGAATCCCATGAACGACTTGTGTACCTTTGCCAATCTAAATAATGGCTGACACAATCTATCTCTATGTCTAGTTTGGTAATTATGTCTGTCTGATACCTTATCAAATAATATTAAGTGTTTCCTAACATACATTATATTTTCATAAATAAACTGACCGGGCACAGTCATAATATTGATCTCTTTAAATTTATCTCTAAGAGATTCGCGAAGCCTTAGGTTGTAAATTGCTCTGATTGCACGCTTTTGCAAGACAAATATAGACTCAATGTCAGCAGCCTGTCCCCACAACAAGATGCCATACGACATAATGCTATGAAAGTAGCTGAAGTACACCAGTCTTGCAGTGTCCACATCTGTTAGCTGTCGGATCTTCCAGACAGCAAATGCTGCAGAACTCAACCGTCCTGCCAGAGATGTGATATGGGGCCCCCATTGTAGTTTTTCATCTATGGTTATACCCAGAAAAGTAGTCTGTTTTACAAATTCCAATTTCTTGCCGTTTAATAATATGTCACATTCGTTACTTTTTACATTTGGTAAACTGAATCGTATACACTTTGTCTTTTTGTCGTTTAGAACTAAATTATTAACTGTAAACCAGTTATGAACCTTCGTAATAGCATTATTTACTTCGTCATAATTATTTGTCCGTCTATTTATTTTAAAAATCAACGATGTGTCATCAGCAAATAATACCATTCCCGGTTCTCGCTGAAATAAATGAGGTAAGTCATTTATGTAGACCAAAAATAGGAAAGGACCTAATATCGAGCCCTGTGGTACGCCCATAGATATGCTAGCACCCTGAGAATTAACTTTGTTTACCTGTACTTTAAGCTGCCTATCCTGGAGGTATGATTTTAATAAATTGAGTGAAGCCCCTCGAATACCATAGTGTTCCAACTTTAGCAACAGTGTCTCGTGTTCGACGCAATCAAAAGCCTTGGACAGGTCACAAAAAATTCCAATAGCGTCGTGCGACTCCTCCCACGAGGCAAAAACACGCTTAATTAAAGTTACACCGGCGTCAGTTGTGCATCGACCTTTGGTGAACCCATATTGTTGATCATGAAAGATGGAATTCATGTTAAAGTGACGCAGCATCTGAGAAAGCATCAGCTTTTCAAACACCTTACTAAGCACCGGTAAAATAGATACCGGCCTATAATTATTAGGATCGGTATCATCGCCAGATTTAAACAGTGGAACTACTTTGCTATGTTTCATCAAATTTGGAAAAACTCCCTGATCTACACTTTTATTATAAATTAAAGCTAAATGAGGCGCTATAGCTTCTATAAAAGCCCTACACACTGCAACAGACATTCCCCAGAGATCCTCTGTAGACTTAACTTTAATGTCTTTAAACGCCTTTATTACTGATTGGGGGTTTGTGTACTGAAATTGGAAATCAGAACGGCATTCTTTAATATTTCTTTTGAGAAGACTAATTGAAAGTGCCGGAGATGATTCTAAGTCCTTTGTAGTTTCAATGGGGATATTCTTGAAAAAAAAATTCAAATTCTTGTGCAACTTCCCGATTTACACTAACATGTCCATTTCCGGTATTTAAATTAATTTCCGTGTTATGCAATTTATGTCTGCCTGTCTCATTGTTAATTATTTTCCATGTAGCCTTTGTTTTATTTTCAGCGTTCTTAATATTACGGCTATTCATGTCGTAACTAAGTGGAAGCTTTATTGAAGTTTAGTTAGTACATCAGTTAATAGTAATGTTGAATCAGATCTGTCTTTTTACCAGTGAGATTTTAATTGAATCGGTTAATGATCATTATTGAAATATTTATTCCAACTTTTATTGCACAATTTCTTAGTAACTCAATTAGATCCATATTTAAACTGTTTTTTTTAAATTTAGTTAATACTGCACTGTATTTTATTATCATCTTATTAGGTTATTGTTGAATATTGGCTTTGAGTTTTACCTATACAACAGACAACAAACTTGTATCGTTGAAATAATGCCTGGTGTCTTAGTCTCTCTTAGTCTCTCAAATTAAGAATAATTCTGAAGCACATACATGCCGAAGACAAATAGCTTAAATAGCCATTCGGCTAATGATCTGAAATAATGTCCCGCCAAAATGCTAGGTTAGGTTAGAACTGAATGGTTCATTCACCTTATTGACTACCACAGGTATGTTACATGTCTAATCAATAATCATGTTTTTTTGTTGTTGCAGGAACTTGTTGACATTATGTTGAAGAGGATGGACCCAGATTTGGATGGTGTTATAAACTTTCAAGACTTTCATGATTCTGTTATGAAGACTCCATCCTTGTTGGAGAGTCTTGGCTACTGTCTCCCAGAGAGACCGGCAGTTTATGCTTTTATTGCCACCTGGTGCCCGCGATGGGCAAGGATGTGAAATAAATAAATACCTTTTTATATCCAGTACTTTATGTACATTTCAATTTTACAAAATTTTATGATGCCTTCAATTGCTATAGAGTTGAAGTGTTATAAAACTATTTGAAATGAAAATAAATATTGTAAAACTTTTACATAGAAGTTTTGTAGTCATGAAACAAAATTCTAGATACCTATTGTATTTAAAGGTCTCGAATCGTGAAAAAAGCTTGTGAGAAATTGTAGAAGAGTACTTTCCAAATGAAGTCTTTGTCCAATATATTGATAGCTAAATTTCCCCAGAGATCACCACAAAGTTAGTTAATAGATCCTTATATCCTATTTATCGAGTTCATGGCTCCGAATTTTTCGTTTACAACAATCGATACAGTAATAGGCCTGTAGCAATATCTGAGTTGATTGCCCGAATGTCCAACAAGGAGTCTTAATGAACGCTATAATTATTGTCTGTTGACATGATTAAATACAATAGGCATTGCTGACATGTAGTAAATTATAATCATGATTAGTATCTAATACATAGGAGGAAATTTCGTGAAGTTATTTACCAATACAAATAAATACAATTCTCTTTTCACACGATCTTGAAATAATACTCGCCATTATTATTATTAAAGCTTGTATACCTATACACTCATGGAGAACTAATGGACGCTAATGAATTAGTAATAACTAGTGCACACAGGAACAAAGCATTCTCCGTTATAATACTCAGTGACCTTGAAAAAGATTATTCAGTTGCGTTCTAAGAAAGGGTAATAATTATGATGGTATAATGAAGATGTAATTTTAAAAGTAACATTGAAGTAAAAACTATTTAGTATTACCTATACTAAATAGTTTTTACTATATACAACTTTTTATACTTGTTAAATAGGTATAACAAGAGTCCATTATGTCGCTTGGACGGGTTATAATTTTAAGTAAACTAAACCAGTGACTCAATTTTTTTTATTTATTTTTCGATTAATTATTGTTTATGGCTTTGTTTGGCTGCCTAAGACGCCCAAATCTAGATCAGGTATGTGACACACTGCACTCCGTAGATTTACTCGACTTGATGTGTATTTTTAAATTATATTATTTCAATATATAATGTTCTCAATTATGCGTTGCTTGACCAATCGATTGAAATATGATTTTAAATAAAATACTCGTATAAATAAAATATTCGTAAAGTAAAATAATCCTTATATTTTTATAAAGTAGACGTCAGAAAATAGTACATTAAAATAGCTTACATAAGCTGGCCGAAGCTCTCTAGTTGTAATTCCGCTCTCACAAAATGCCAGACCGATGTATTTTTAAAACATCGGTACCTTGTAACTTGAGCTAAATATAGACATCAATGATTATTGGAAACGTATTTCTATGTATTGATTTGATTATATTTATTTTCTCATAAAAAAGTGTGTGAACTACATTATTATAGAGCAACAAGTGCTAAGCTCTCTGCAAGTGACCGTCAGACAAACCAACTCCACACTTCCCACACGTCCCACTGTAATCAAAATATTAACTGGCAACTTTGCTTGCTTTCCATTCTCTCGTTAAAATTACTTTGATTTTAGTAGTAAATTACCAAACATTTTAGATTTATATAAGGTTTGCAGATCGCGTTCTTTAAAAGCTAACAATGTCACTGGGACGTGCGACATTCAAGGCACTAGGAGAAACGTCAACGTAAACGACATACCTAGCAAACTAGTAACGTAGTATAATACACTACAGCTGCTCGATGCTCGTTGCAATGTCAGTCGCCGCCCCGGCATCGTCGAGGTAAGACCGCATAACCAATCTCTACAAGAACAACAAAAATTCAAAGACTCTAAAAACTTTTACATCAATTTCTATTAAAATCATTTTAATTAAACACTTCTCTGAATATTAATGCATGTTTCTATCATAAATTATGAGTTTTGATGAATATTTTAAATATTTACAGGCTTGCAGCTGTCGCGCCAATCAGTCTACGCTTCGCTGTTGCGACGGGTGGACGGTACAACGTTGATGGACAATATTTACTAACTACTTCGTGAATAGACGAAATCTCCAATATATTTTTATTATGTTGACTATGTAGTAACATGGACTGACATCATGACTTTAAGAAGATACAAGAACACTTATATTATATAATAGTATTTACATTATAGATATACTTTTGGTTTCTTACCAGTCAAGAGTAATATTATTATATAATATAGAGCCTATTCGTATTGCAAATGAAAGAACGTACAATCTGTTTTTAACAAACCTTTTCATTATGCGCCGTCGTCTTCGCTATTGTTTCGCGACCAATAATCCTGTACCGGACATTAACACTATTACTGTCTGTTGAATGATTATTGTTTCGTCTTTTCTATTACATCAAAATAAAATTCAAATTATTTAATGGTTTTAAATGAAATCGTTCACGAACTATTAATTGAAACATCGAATTTTAGAAAATGTTCTCAAAAACGAAACTGCACTTCAATTACTTTTTTGGAAAGTAGATGTAAGTAGGTAATTATTATGATTTTTTTTTTGAGATACTTGGGTCATACCAATACTGGGCTACAATACAGGTCTCATACTATCCCAGTATAGTAATCCCGATCTATTTATTTAACGAGATCTACAAAGGAATACAATCGAAGTCCCTCACATTTCTTATTTAATTAAGAAAAACATATAAAACGCACAATGTGGCCTCGGCCTACGCACAAATTCATAACATCCTTACTACTCTAAAAAGAAATTAAGTACGTACTATGTAAATAACATTTTTCAAATGGCAGTGTATTTTCAGATCCCACAAAAATATTAAAAAGAAACAAAAGAATCGCCATTTTCTTTTGTACAAGTGGATAAATAAATGAAAACTCGGTTTACGCCCAGAGCAGTGCATATAACGCAAAACTAATTTACATAAAATTTAATTACATCTGTCTACAAATTAATGACACGTACATCCTGACGAGACACGTATTTAAATAATAATATGAGAAACGCCCAGTGCTTAATGTTTTAATAGAAATTCAAATGTATCTTGTTTAAGCTAAAAGATAGAGTTCATAATTGTATGCGCTGCAGATTGTATTCGGAAAAGTTTTGAGGTATTTAGTGCGGCTTTCTGAAAAAGTGAAAATCTGGTGAGCTCCAATTAGTTCAACTGAATCCAAAACTTCGTGGGTCGAGTGGGATGTAATGGGTTTTGTTTAGCAGCATTTTTTATGTTTTAATAAGAAGTTCAAGGCAAAGCAATGGCGAAAAGTTCAGGAAACACGCCGTAGGTTATATTAAAATGCAAGCCAATGGTTTAAAAACAATTTTATGAACTTACATTTAATTATTAAGACGTGGTGGCACGAGGTTACAGGCACCCCTTCTCATGAGTAAGGTGGTGGGTCCGAAACCTTGTTAGTACCAATGAGACTTACCGAGTCATATGTACTTTCTAAGTTTACTTAGACACCACAGATATACAGTGAAAGAAAACATTGAGAGAAAACATGGACTTACAATTTCTAATTAAAAATTTGAAATTGCCAATCCGTCTTAAGTAAGCATGGCGATTAATGCTCAATCCTTTTCTGCGTGAGTAGTCTTTGCTCAGCAGTGAGCAATTATAGGCTGTTTATGGCGATGTAGATATTTAGTCAACTATCTCTCATTGGGTACAAATAGGATGCAATATTTACCATGCTTATTAAGTAACTTTATTGTCCTACATTACAGTCACGCAATCTCATTACTCTGCTGATATCCGGTATTGGCCTTTCTAAAATAATGACGTAATAAAATAGATATTTATATATTTTTTTTATTTATTTGTAGGTACTGCAATTATGTAGATATACTCTCTCTCTCTGTTATCTCTCTGTCTCTCTCTCTCTCTCTCTCTCTCTCTGTTCTCTCTCTCTCTCTCTCTTTCTCTCACACACACACACACACACACACACACATACATTTTGTGTAGGCACTTAACATAAATATATCCACAATTCAACAGAACTTCTCTGAATACTTATAAAAATCAATATTTGATTGAAATAGTATCTCATCAAAACCTATTCACACCTCATAGACCCAGTTTCTTTGATATACTGAATTCGCTCATTGTCTATTATATTGGCCTGAGGCTTTTATCAGTATATAAACTAGGGTTTATAACAAAGGTATTACGTATTCCTTCATGAAGTCAGGGTTACCGTAAATAAGCAACAGTCTCTTAGATTCAGATGTAAAGGTGAAATAAAATAAAAAATGATGATTTGATTTCACTGAAACGTCTTCGTTCGTACGTAAGTATTTAGAAAGGTCATTAAACTATATCATATCTAAATATATACATAGTATGCAGCCATACTAATCATATGCCTGTTATGTATTATTTAATTATTTATTAATATTTAAATTTTATTAAAATATTTTTTTGTTTCATTTTCGGTTTCGTATTGAAATAAGGGCACCTACTGGATGAAAGGCTCACTTCATTTTACATAACTTGATGGAAATACTAACATCGTTCACTTAAATCATTAATACGCGTGTACTGTTATTAAAAGTGAAAAAACATGGTCAATCGTTACGCGAGCTCGAACCGAAATAAGAGAAAATAATAGTGAAAAAATTTCCCAGTAAGCTCCAGCACGTGCCAGTGCACTTAAAGTTTGTATGGATTTCAACACTTCGAATGAATTCATTTCCATTGTATTTTACAATTGACATTGACCTATTACTTTTGAGCCGGCCTCTTTCTTTGTGTGCGTGTTTCGAACGTCCTTTTAAAATGATACGTAATAATGATATAATTAAAATGTTTATATTAAAACCTACTTTTGTTTTTGTTTATTAACTATCGTAGCATATAATAATTGAAAACTAGCTGACCCGGCGAACTTCGTACCGCCTAATTATTAGAGGCATATTTAGTAAGTCACAAACACACTTATTTGCTCACCGTTTAGACCTACCCTGGACTACGACAAATATTTTAAAAACCAAAATCAG